TATTCTTGTTGTGCCGATTGGATTTGAGGTTAACCGCTATGTCTTGGAGGATTTCCTTTGACCTCCCTTGACTATTTAGGGTATTATGAACCTTATTAACCTATTGGCTCGTGACTTTTAAAGGGTGGCCTTGAAGGCGGCTTGGACGGCTAGGTTTGGTTCCATGCGGTTCGAGAGTCGGCTCACTGACATGAGTGTTATGGATGATTTGTGAGGGAGCACTGTGACGGTGCCTCTCAAACTGACCAGGTTCTCTAAATCTAGACTGAGCTGGGTCCATAGAGTTGGACGTTGGTCTGCCATGATCCTGGGTCATAATTCCTAGACTTGGTGAGATCTAGACTCAAAGCCTCATGATAGACCTACTATGTCTCTAGGGGCAAAACCCTAACAAAGATCTAGGCTAGGACTAGACTGAATGAAACCTGTTAGACTCAATAGGTTTTTGTTTGAACCCTGAACCAGGGTAAGCCTAGTCTAGCTCTAGAGGCTACTCTAAGCTTAGACCTATGCTAGAACCTAGACTAAGATCTAAATTAGATAGGTACGAGTCTCAGCTCAAACCAAGAGTGGGTTTGGGTTCAGACCAGGTGTGAACCTGGTTCGGACCTGGACTGAGCTGGGTGCAAGCCTAGACTTGGACCTAGAGGATTATGAAACTCAGATCGGGTGTGGACCCGGACTGGATCAAAGTTGGTTAAGGCACAAGCTCTAGGCTTGGACCAAGAGGGGGCCTTAGTTCGAATCTGGGTATGAACCTGGTTCGGACTTGGGCTAAGCTGAGTACAAACCTGGACTTGGACCCATTGAGTTTTGATGGTCAGCCCCGGTATGGCCCTTTACTGGATCAAGGATGAACTAAGAATGAGCCTTCGACTCAGACCAAGAGGGGACCTAGGTTCGGACTTGGGCTAAGCTGGGTACAGGCCTGGACTTGGACCTAGAGGGTTCAACTTGGACCAAAAGTGGGTCCAGACTAAGTTCAAAGATTAACCAACCATAGTAAGCAAGCAAGCACACGAAAAATTTTGACCTAATATTATAGGTAGGCTTGGCTTGAGAGTAGGTTCCTAACTATTGAAATGCAGCTAAGCTGATATAAGTCCCCACATAGGTTCTGACCTCCTGTTATAGGATGTTCACCAGGTCCTACTATACGTGGAGTTGCTTTGAGCCAAATGATTACGGAGGGGCACTCACAGTTAAAGTTATGCGAATCCCAACCGCCTCGACTCTCAAAGCTAGGTTCCCCTCACACCATTAATGCGGATTTTGGGGGTTTTCAAAATATTTGTTTGTTGGTTTCCCGGGCACTCCCGATCTGGTGTGTGCTGGAGTGTGTAAAGAAGCACACAATTAAAATAAAGTCAAGCACACAATTCACACAAAATAAGAAAGGAAATAAGAGAGTGCTCGGCACTGATCGTGCTTAGTGAGGTGCACTTTGAGGCGAAACTCGCTTGAAGCACAGTATAGATGGAGGGGTAAGTAACATGTAAGAAGGTAAGGTCAGAACAATGAGACCAGGCATTGTCCGTGCTAAGTCGAGCACGGCCCAAGTCGAGGGTAACTCGAATGGGACACGATTCAAGGAGGGTGCAAGAGCCCTCGATATATATTTACATATATATCTATTAATTGTTTATCCTATTTTTTTTTTATGGAACACAGTTAAACTAAGATGGTGAAAGCAGGGAAAACATGGTTTCAATAAAAATTAACAAACTAAAATAAAATAAAAAAGTAAAAAACAGCACAGACCTATTTGAAGAAAAATATCTTTTTTATATTTTTTAAAAAAATGTTTTAAGCCAAGATTTGGTGAACAGAGAGCCAAAAGGCCCTGGAGCTGGCCTGTGGGGTCCCAGAAGTTTTTTGGACACTTGCAGTTGGGCGACACGAGTGGTGTCGCCCTTGCAGGGTGGGTGACACTGCCAATGCTACTCAAAACATTATTATATATATATATATATATATATATATATATTTATTTATTTATTTGTTTGTTTATTTTTATCTTGTTAAAATTAATGAATTAAGACTACTTTAAACTTGGAAGAAGAATGAAGAAAAAATTTATGATGAAATAAATTAAAACAGAGTAAACAGGAAAAAGTAGATATAAAAGATCAATATCAAGTAAAATATTTTTTTGGTATTTTTAAAAAAATTATTTTGCTCCGAAATGTTTTGATCAATCACAAGAGAATCCCAGGCTGCAAAATTTCAAAAAACTTTGACTTGGGAGACGAGGGGCACCCGAGGGCGTGTCACCCATAACTTGGGCGGCACAGCCCATGTCTCTTGGGCGGCACGACTTGTGTCGCCTGGGTGGCATGTCTCGTGTCGCCTGAGCGGAATGCCTCGTGTCTCACAAGGTAAACAGGGTTTTGGAGCATAGAAACCCTGGGTCCTTGTTGCAGCCGGGTTTTGGCCTTTTTGGATTGAAAACAGTGAAAAATAGTGAACAAAAAATCGTAATTTGGCGCTTGGATCAAGCTCAAAATGCCCCACGGTGGGCGCCAAAATGTTTATAATGAAAAATCTAACAGATCTTCTAATGAATATCTCTCGGATCTGACCCCTTAAACTGATAAACAATAAACGATTAAAATAATGTGGTAGAGATGGTGGGGCAAATCAAATTTAGATCTGAGGCTAGATCTGTCAGGAAACGAGGAGATCTGTTCTCAGATCTGTGCCAAAGAACCAAAAACAACCAAAACATGATTTTTAAGAAAATGAAAAATTAAAATAAGACGAAAATAATAAAGCAATAGAAATGAAATGGGAGGAAAAATGATACAGAACCGGGCCGGATAGCCCGGGCTCTCGAGCCTTCTAGCGTTCGCCTATATCAAAACCAGTCCTCTTTTGTCTCTCTGATCCGGATGTTAGCCAGCAAGTTTATTCAATATAGGGTGGTTGCGCCCTATGGATGGCTCCAAATGTCCCTTGTTCTAGGCTTTCTTTTGGCTTAAGGTTCGTCTCTGGAAGCTAGGGTTTCTCTTTGAATTTTTCTGAGGTTTCTATCTCTCTGAAGCTTTCTGATCTCTATCTTAGGGTTTTGCTCTCTATCCAGGGTTTTTCCCTCTCTCCCTCCTCCAAATGACCATGAAAAGTGGCATTATAGGGGTCAAATTCTGTTGGGAAGGATATGCACGTGTAACAAACAAATCCCTTGGTCAAAGATTCACATTTTGAGGGTCATGGATTTGGGTAGCACAAGTCGTGTCGCTTGGGCAGCACAAGTCGTATCGCTTGGGCGGCATGCCCTATGTCACCTAAGGCTGGGCAGCATGGGTCTTGTCGCCTGCGTGGCAAGCCCCTTGTCGCACACACAAATTTTGGTTCAAATTGAGATTTCTTACTTCTAGTGTGTTCCTCAGCCTCTTTTGAAGCGGTCAGAGAAAATTTGGGTCAAAACAGATTTTTTTAATGTTTAATGTTTTTTTTGGTAAAATAGGGCAATTGTAGGATGACTTCGGTGACACGCCCTGTGTCACCTGGCACGCCCTGTGTCGCCCAAACCAAAGATTTTCCAAATTGATATTTTGCAATTTGGATGTCTTTCTCTACCTCTTATGAAGCTCTCAGAGAAAAGTTAGGTCACAAAGGCTTTTTTTTACCATTTTTAATGATTTGTTTGGTAAAACAGGGCGTTTACAAAAATCTGGGTCAAAACAGGGTTTCTATAGGGTTCCGAGCAGGCAGACCGGTTCTGGGTCACAAGGTAGGTTGAGTGAACTATGGATTTGGGTTTACTAATTTAAGTGAGATCCTCAGGGTTCAGGAAACCATAAAATTTGCCAAATTTAAAATGGGATGTCTATAAGTGGTAAATGAGCATGATAATTTGGGGTAATTATTTAATGGGATATTTGATAGTGTTTGAGGATTGGGGTGTAATAGAAAGGGATGGTAAAATGAGCATGAGATGGGGAGCATGGGAATTGCACGGGGGATAGATGTGTATGAAGTGGGGGTGGTTCGTGAGAAAATCTCACGGTGAGGAGAGAGAAATACACGGACAGATGGAGGGATGCGTGCATGTGTGAGAGAGGATGGCATGCGTGAGGGAAACGTGTGCGGGAAGGTGTGAAGAGGAGAGAGAGAAGAATGAGAGGAGGAGATAGAAATGTGTGCATGGTAGAAATGCGCACGCAAGGGGTGAGGCACGTACATGAGGTGTGGAGGAGAGAGAGAAAAATGAGAGGACGGTTGACAGAAAGATTTCGACGCATGTGAGGATAGCGGCGAACATGTGCGAGAGAAAAGGGACCACATGCGTGTGAGAAAGAGGGCTGCACATGCACGTACGCACGCACGCAAGAGAGAAACGGTCACACGCAAGTGTGGAAGAGGCATATGCATGCGTGAGCATGAGAGAGAGAGGCGAACACATGGCCTCGGGCTCAGGCTCAGGCTCGGGCTCGGGCAGGAGCTTGGCTCGGCCTGAACGCAAAGAGGAGAGGGTGACAGGCGTGCCCGTGGACACGTGTGTGAGATATAGAAAGAGAGCTCAGGCTGGGCTTCGGGCTGTACTCTCAACCCGGTCCATTTATGTTCGGGCCGTAGGCTCAACCCGGCCCATTTATAAGGAGAGAGAAGAGAGAAAACGTGGTGTCCGTTGGCCCTAACTGCCAGATCCGGAGCCCATTTTCGTAGGCAAGTGAGCCCCTTCCTGTTTGGCCAATTTTTTGCATGTCTTGGCGCCGGTTTTGATTGATTCTGACGTCGTTTGACCCCCATTGACTATTTCACCCCTTGTCAAATTTTGGGTAAAGAAGGATTTTCAAGGGAAAATGTGTCCTTTTGCTTAATCCCTTCCCAAAGTGTTCTCTTTCTTTTCTTGAAATGACACAAAGGTATTAATGGATTGGGTTGGAATATGGGATTTGTACGGGGTATGGAGGAAAGGTGAAAAAGCACCTTTTTGAAAGTGAGGATATAAGAGTGGGAGCGGGCTCACTTTTTGTCATTCTCACTCATTTTTAAAATTGAAGTAAGAGAAAGTGGGGGAGCTTTCTAGAGTGAGAAAGTGAGCTTTTGAGGGCTTTTAAAAGGGCTTTCTCCTTGTGAGGCAAGGTCGATGGCGGGGGCATCCAGTACTCGGGAGTTTGGTAAGCCATTTCCTCCCATGCTTCTTTTTATTCTTCCCATGCTTCCTTAGCACTTTAGATGCTTATTTTAGCACCTTAATGCTTCTCCTTTAGCATTGAAGTATTTCTTGTGCTCATCAAGAATCTTAGCATTCCCTTGAGCATTTTTAACACTTAATTGGCACTTTTAATGACTTTTAAGAATTTTTAGCGCTTTTTAAGCATTTTAAGTGCTTTTGTACGTTTTAAGTTCTTTTTTAGCATTTTAGGTGTTTTTAAAGTATTTTATGTACTTTTCAAGCATTTTAAATGCTTTGGAGTTCTTTTAACGCTTTTTGAGCACTTTCAATGCTTTTAAGGCACTTTCAACACTTTTTAGGCACTTTTAATGCTTTTTGAGCACTTCTGCATGGAATTCACCTGGATGGCAGGAGGCTCTGCTGGGGTTCGTCTGGCTTGGTTATGTCCCACAGTTCAGTTCCCTGAGCATCCTCCAGCGTACCTTGAATTGTTTAGGGACCTTCTTTGTCAAAAGTCCAATTTTACTGGGGAGGTTCTGCTAAAGTTTGCCAGGCCCTGTATCTTCCTTGTTTTGCTTTTCTAAAAGCTTTTTACACACCTCTGACCTATTTGGGACTTTGTCCTTTCTCGTGGCTCTTCAGATGATGTGCCTCGATGGCCACACGTCGTGTAGCTAGGGCTGCTTGTGGCCTACGGATGAGAAACCCTGTAGGCAATGATACCCCAGAGGGTGCCATTATCATTGTTGATGATGAACCACCTGTGGCAGTGGTTGAGGAGGAACTCGGGCATGCGACTAACATCAATCCGAATGAACCATCGTCTTCGTCTCAACCACCATAGTCAGAGAGTGGAACGAGGATGTTACCCTACTCTGGTCGGGTTCTCTTTACGCCCCCCTGGTTTACTCGCAGGGGCATTGTTTCTGAGCAGCTAAGGATCCTCTTTTCCACACAGGGGGTTAAATTACCTGAGTGCTAACATTGGCGTGTTGGAATATGGGAAAGAGCTCCTAAAAGGTCGTTCACTGTCTCCTTGGAAAATCCTCACTCGAGGAGTTGATACAACTTCTTGATCTTTTAGAGAGGACCGTGACAAATTTGACGGCCTTTGGAGTTCTTGAGGCTTCTAAGCTCAAGAATATTATGGGGGAATTCGCTCAAGAGGCGGGATAGATCTTGAAACTGGAAAGGCTGATTTTCCCGACGACGAATCCATCCATTGGTATTTTGCTTGATTTTTACTCGAATCAACCCTCCATCTTTGGCTACGCAGAAGGTCTTCTGGAGAAGTTGAAGGGTGAATTGGCATACAAGGAAGGCTTTCACCCAACCGTCGAGGCCCATTCACTGAAGGAAGGGGAGGATGCTGCGCTTGGTGGGATTTCACTTTGTGACAATGAGGCTAGTATGATCGTCCTTAGACATCATATTGCTGAGACAGAGGCCTTATTATCTCGGGTTCACGAGGAAATGGGTGATCTCCCACCAACGGACTAGGAATCAGGTGCATTCCCCTTGTTAGCTAGGGATGCAGGCTTTCTCAAAGATAGGCTGGGCATTAGGCAACGCGTATTCACCGAGATTGGCTCTCACAAGGAGTGATTGACAAATCACTCTTGTTTCGTTGTGCTTTCCTTGCCATTGGGACCCCATTTTTTTTTTTTTGCTTTTTTGTTCACCTTTCTTGTTTTTAATCTCAATGTAAGGCTTTAGGCCGTGGTTTGAGAATGCATGTTTCTCTCTTAAAAAGGCATTTTCGAGATTGCGGGACTCCAACTTGTAACGTCTATTTTGTGATGGAATGGAAGCCTTTTCCCTCTTACTTTAAACCTCATCTCTTTTCTTTCCTTCATGACCTTGGGTGTCTTGTTTTTCTTATTTCCATGGTACTCTTCGATCGCTGTCTCCTTGAGAGTGGTGAGCTGTTGAGAGTCTCTTTTGTGGACATGTCTACACCTTACATGTCTTTGATTTAAACACCCTTTCGGGTCTTCGTTCAAGCCCTTTGAGTGTGCGCCATTTTTTTTTTTCCTAAAACCTCGTGAGATCTTTTTTGTAGCGCTTTGCTCATGGATTTTATACCATCTATGTCGTTTTTTCATTTTTACTCACGATGCCTTTTTGGGTTTTCATCAAGCCTGTTTTTTATTTTTGATGTTTTTTACCCACGTTAGCTTATGGTGCTACCGTTCCCCATTATTTTTCTTTTCCTTTATTTTCTTTTGACTTTCTTACCCATGACACCCTTTCGGGTTTTCGTAATGTCCGTCTTTTGGGGAGATAACTTTAGGGTCATGTCATCGGGACCGTAATAGTAGTGTATTTTAAGGTCATACACTAAGACCTGAAGGCAAGTTTAAGGTCTTGCCTCCAAGACCATATGGTAGTGTGTTTTAAGTTCGTACACCAAGACCTGAGGGTGCGTTTAGGGTCATGCCTCCAAGACTGAAATGGTAGTGTGTTTTAAGGTCGTATCCTGAGGGCGTATTTAGGGTTGTGCCTCCAAGACCGTAATGGTAGTGTATTTTAGGGTCGTACACCAAGACCTGAGAGCATGTTTTAAGGTCTTGCCTCTAAGACCGTAAGACTTGGGTCAAAGGGAAAGGGCTTAGAAGATGAGAGGGAAGGATCTTGAGGAGCTTGGGTAGCTTAGTGAACATCATATCGAGAGAGGGGAGGTTCATGAATGAAGGAGATGGGGCTGAAGGTTTAGAATATGGGGGTGATGAATCGGAAGGGCCACCATACTGATTGTATGACAGACTTCACATTGGGTTAGAGATTTTGGAATATCCCATCCTTGTTCTTGTGTCATGTTGAGCAGTAGATACCTCAATGGCTTTGAATGGAGAAATCGTCCCTCTGTCGTCTTTTAGTCCTTGATTGGTCGTGGGCTCATAATCCATCTTCCTCATGATTTGATGGGCTTGGTGACTATAAAGACCCCATTATGGTAGCACCTTAGCGTCTTTGTAGGGTGGTCCTTTAGTGGCCCCAAGCACCTCAGGATCTTGAGTCTATGAAATGAAACCCCAGCAATGGTTTCGAAGCTGTAAATTTCAAGGGGACCTCTTCTAGCCTAGTTTTCCCTTTTCTAATGACCTCCAATAAACCAAGAAGTTCTTGAGCTTGCTTCTTTAGATTACCAATAGTTGCCCGATCTAAGTGGTCAAGCTGAGGAAGTGGAACATTGCTAAAGGCTTGAGCTGGTGATGAGGAAGTCCCATTTGTAACCACGTTAATCAGATCCTTTTTAGTCAAGGAGTCCAGAATGTGCAAGACCTTTTGTGAATCACACATGTAAGCTGACCTTTGGGTAAGGTAAATGTTGTCCTCCCCTCTTAAGGAGGTTGGGATGCATAAGACCTTGTGGTTGGCTTGGTTAGCCTCAATGATTCAGCGTGATGCGTCTGCCTTTAGGAGGGAGATAGCAATACATAGGACTTTTTGGTAATCTAGCATGTAAGTGACCGTGGTAGTGTCAATGTCCATTACTTCCCCATTCTTTGCACCGGGTTCCGACTCGGTCGTCACTAGGTGTGACTCTGAAGTTGGGAGAATGGGGGATGCGGTTTGCCCCTCATGGCATCCGGGTGGCTCCTCCAAGGGAGAGTAGGGGATATTTGCATGAATCGAAGTCAAAGGGAGTGTTCTGCCATTCCTCTCATCCTCTTGGAACATGCTGAGGAGTGTCCTTCCCACATCCTCTACATCATCATGAGAAGACCCCTCCACCTTCTTCATGGGATCTGCTCATGCAGGTGTCATTAGTTCTTGAGGTGATTCTAGGTTGGCAAAGTAGTACTTCGCATCCGAGTAATGAGTTTCAATGATGAGAAAAGGTCTTTTATCATCATAGACCGTGTATTATCTCCCATACCAGCTGTACTTGAAGCACTGGTGCAGTGTGGATGGAACCACCCCCTTGATCATGCATCCAGGGACGATCGAGCAAGATGTTATACGAGGTATCCGTCTCAATCACATGGAACTGGGCATAGTCGTTCAAGTCACCGATTTTGAGACGAAGATGGATAGTGTCAGCTAGCTTCTCCCCTGGTTGATTGAACCCCTGGATCGTGAGGTTTGTTGAGGTGAGATCACCAGGCCCCAACCCTATGTGAGTGAGAATTCTATTTGGGTTGAGGTATACTGCAGAACCTCCATCGAGCATTATTCGGTTAATAGGATGGGAATGCAACTTGCCAGTCACGAAGAGGGGCCGATTGCGAAACTTCTCTCCCAACTGAAGGTCGTCCTCAAAGAAAGTGACAGCCATATTGTTGTTAAGGATTGTTGGATCCACTTCAATCTGCTTAACTTCAGTCTCGTATACTTCGTGATGGGAGAGAGCTTGTATGAGAGCCATGCAGTAATCACCTGACAACATGAGAGCGTCATAGACACTCAATAGGGCAAAGAGTCTCATTAGGTGTCCAACCACATCATACATGACTTTGTCATCATTTGGTTCATGGACTCCTGAGTTGGCCACTGGCTTTGATGGTATGGTTGAGTAAGTGCAGACTGGCTAGATTGTGCAGCCGGGACGGGTTGAATAGATTGGCGTGATTACACAGCAGTGGTAGGTGTAGATTCATCAGATGAGATGGGTGGAATCGGTACAGGCGGGCTTGGTTGCATAGCTGGGACAGGTGGCAATAGAATTGAGGTTGGTTTGACTATAGAGGGTTTATGAGGAAAGTTGGGGATGGGTTTGTGTATGGAACTAATGGTGGTTTAGGGTATTTAAGGAGAGCTGGTGCATTGGATGGAGTGTTTGGGTATGACATCAGTTGTGGACCTAGGTATTTCAAGAGTCTTGGTTGCTTTGGTTTTTGTATGAGTGGTTGAAGCTTTTTCCCGGATCTCAAATCGATCTAACTGACATTGACCATCCCTCTAGTGACTCTCACCATATGGCATGCTTCATAAGAGGATAAACTTTTCTTTTTTGTATCTGTCCATTGCTGTTTTGGATTGGGCTCGAGAGGCCATCGAGACATTTTGGGTCTCAGGTTTGGGTATTGCGTAATCAACTCTTCGAGAGTGGGCAGGGTTTCTTTCTGGACCTGGAGGCTAGAGTGTCAACAACAACTAGAAAACCAGCAGCTTGTGCGACCATCTTCTTCACTTGCGTTTGATGGCTTATTGATATTACAGCTCTTAAGCTATTCATCAAGGACCTCAACGTTTGGGCACTCAAGAGTGAGTTTAGAGAGAGATGGGTTGAGAGAATAAGGGTTTAAAGAATTACAGATAGAATAGGGGAGAGGGCTTTTATGGTCATCACTCAAATTGGATTGAGCCAGGTAGCTTTTGGGGTCATCACCTGTATTAGACTAGAAGGGGTTTTTAACGTCTTCACTCTCTTTCGATGTGATTGGGTTTCTTTTACATCATTGTTTAAAACCTGACAGACAGCGGAAATATCGACAGTCTCATAATGGCCCTAGAATAGGTCATGATCTTCATAAGAACTCCAAAAAGTCTTTTGCCAAGTTTCGTCGCATTTGAAATGTCTAAGGCAGTGAATACTGAGAAACAGTTTCGGCAGAATCAGCCTCTAGCACCCTGAAAAAGACCCCTATAATAGGAATCCTACTTTCGGAGCATTAAACGGTTGTGGGACCACCTCCATTAGAACTGACATAATTGAAAACATTCAAGGGTCAATTTTAGCTTAAACAAACACTCCAGGAAGAAGTTCCGGGTAAAAGATCAAAACAAGAGTAGCTGCACACTATTCCTGTGCGGCCACCCTGCAAATAAACTGCATTAAAGGGGCAGTCACGAATAGTGACTTGCAATGCTCGTATCTCACTCATTCGAGGTTGGATCATGCTCAAACTTGTTGGAGCATGTTCGCGTCGAGATGAGCGTTTCCATAGGTGGCACGCCCCGTGATAATACCCGAGCATGAAGGAAAGCTAGAGAGAAGTTGTCGATTCGTGAAGAAAGTTGTAGAAAAATCACTGATTCGAACGTCGCACATGATGAACGGTCGGATTTTATACATGAAGCCGATGAAGTGAGTGTAAATTCCGACGCTAGAATTTCAGATTTTGGCTAAAACTCCAAAGTTGCAAAATCCTCGTCCGGACATTAAATCGAGCTGTGTTTGTTGCCACGTGATCGTGACGGCATGCTCAATTGGATCCAGTGAAGAAATCACAAAAAAACATCAAGAAACGAGCACATTATCGATCCGAAGTTTACAAGATTCATCCAAATTTCAAGTCACATGATCGTGGCTTAAAAACATAATTTATGGCTCGAAGTTGGTATCAAATCGATCGTCATGCCGATCCGTACAAGAAAACAATCATCTTTCGGACAAGTGGGCACCAGAGCAACACCAGATCATCCATGAAAGATCACGCACGTTCTAGGGCAGCAGTAGGGACTATTCTGAAATTTGTCCAATTGTTAAGAAGGGGCAAATCTATCATTTTGCACCCTATTTTTTCATTTTATTTAATCAATTTTTGGCAATTACGTTTAATTTTGATCAATCCACCCATGTTTGGGAAAAACTCTTTATATATCACGTACTATTATTGTACATCGACTCGTACTTTGCTCAACAAAATTTTCATCTTTTCTCATTGTTGGGTCACATCTTGAGAGAGAGAAGGAGAGAGAAACTTTTGGTTCAGTACCCTAAGGCTTAATGTAAATCTTTTTATCTCTTTTCTCTTCTTCCCTCTCTTCTCTCTCCTCTTCTCTTTCTTCTTCTTCATCCGAGCTTTTCTCAAAGGCCATGCACAGTAGTGGCAATGCCGTGCATGCTTCTTCCTTTATTTCCCCCTGCAGTGGTTTCACAGGT